ATTGGTTCAAAAGACCTCATGAAAGAAGACACACGAAGTGAGGATACCCGGCCCGGAGGAAGCCCGGGGTCCCCTTCTGGAGCCAGGCCCAGACGGAGGACTCGTCGGCGAGCGTCTGGTGGCCGGGCTTGCCACGGAGCCCGGCCGGACACAGCCCGAAAAGGCAACATGGGCAACACCTCTGCTTCTCCGTCCCGCGGGCCCACCACCTACGGGAAACAGCGATGGGGTCGGGTGCGCTGCCAGAACGGTGGCAGTGAAACAGAGGGTCTCGACGGACCAGACCCGGGCGACGGAAGCGGAGCTTGTGCGGGAGGTGGAGCGTTACCAGTTGGATCTGGTTGGGCTCACCTCTACGCACAGCGTCGGCTCTGGAACCTTACTTCTCTGGACTCAATTCTTCTCCGGAGTTGCCCAAGGTGTGAGGCGCCGGGCGGGTGTGGGGATACTCACAAGCCCCCGGTTGGGTGCTTCTTTGTTGGAGTTTACCCCAGTGGATAGGGTCGCCTCCCTATGCCTGCGGGTTATGGGGGGGGAAACTCTGACTGTTGTGTGTGCTTATGCACTAAACAGCAGTTCAGAGTATTCTGCCTTCTTGGAGACCCTGGAAAGAGTCCTGTATGGGGTCCTGAAGGGGACTCTTTAATCTTGCTGGGAGACTTCAACGCACATGTGGGCAATGATGGAGACACTTGGAGGGGCGTGATTGGGAGGAACGGCCCCCCTGATCTGAACCGGAGTGGTGGTTTGTTACTGGACTTCTGTGCTAGTCATGGATTGGCTATAACAAACACCATGTTCGAACATAAGGATGCTCATAAGTTTACGTGGTACCAGAGCACCCTAGGCAGAAGGTCCGTGATCGATTTTGTTATCGTATCATCGGACCTGAGGCCGTATGTTTTGGACACTAGGGTAAAGAGAGGGGCGGAGTTGTCAACTGCTCACCATCTGGTGGTGAGTTGGGTCGAGTGGCGGGGGAAGCCTCTGGAGAGACCTGGTAAGCCCAAACGTGTAGTGCGGGTGAACTGGGAACATCTGGAGGAGGCCCAAGTTCAGGAGGCCTTCAACTCACACCTCCGGCGGAGCTTTTCGGGGCATCCCTGTGGAGGCTGGGGACATTGAACCAGAGTGGGCGGTGTTCAAAGCCTCTATTGCCGAAGCCGCGGTGGGGAGCTGTGGTCTCAAGGTCTTAGGTGCCTCAAGGGGCGGTAACCCTCAAACCTCCTGGTGGACACCGGTGGTCAGGGAAGCCGTCCGACTGAAGAAGGAGGCCTTCAGGGATTTGTTATCCCGGGAGACTCCCGAGGCAGTTGCAAGGTACCGACAGGCCCGAAGGGCAGCAGCCTCAGCCGTGGCCGGGGCAAAGCAGCGGGTGTGGGACAAGTTCGGAGAAGCCATGGAAAAGGACTTTCGGGCGGCACCAAAGTTGTTCTGGAAAACTGTCCGACACCTCAGGAGGGGGAAGCAGGGAACCATCCAAGCTGTGTACAGTAAGGATGGGACGCTGTTGACCTCAACTGATGGAGTGTTAGGGCGTTGGAAGGAACACTTTGAGAAACTCCTGAACCCGACAACTCCGCCCTCTATGGTAGAGGCAGAGCTGGAGTACGACGGGGGATCAACACCAATCTCCCGGGGGGAGGTCACTGAGGTAGTCAAACAACTCCACAGTGGCAAAGCCCCGGGGGTGGATGAGATCCGCCAAGAAATGCTGAAGGCTCTGGGTGTTGAGGGACTGTCATGGTTGACACGTCTCATCAACGTTGCGTGGAAGTCGGAAACAGTCCCGAAGTAGTGGCAGACCGGGGTGGTGGTTCCCCTTTTCAAAAAGGGGGATCAGAGGGTGTGTGCCAATTATAGAGGCATCACACTAGTCAGCCTCCCCGGGGGAAGTTTACTCTAAGGTACTTGAAAGGAGGGTCAGGCCGATTGTCGAACCTCAGATTGAGGAGGAACAATGCGGATTCCGTCCTGGTCGTGGAACGACGGATCAGCTTTTTACTCTCGCAAGGATCCTGGAGGGGGCCTGGGAGTACGCTTATCCAGTCTGTATCTGTAGATTTGGAGAAGGCGCATGACCGGGTTCCCAGGGAGTTACTGTGGGAGGTGCTGCAGGAGTATGGGGTGAGGGGGTCTCTACTCAGGGCCATCCAATCTCTGTACTCCCAAAGCGAGAGCTGTGTCCGGGTCCTCGGCAGTAAATTGGACCCATTTCCGGTGAGGGTTGGCCTCCGCCAGGGTGCGCTTTGTCACCAATCCTGTTTGTAATATTCATGGTTAGGATTTCGAGGCGTAGTCGTGGGAGGGACTCAGAGTTGAACCGCTCCTCCTTCGCGTCGAAAGGTAAGGTATGTATTAGGATGGCACCTGGGCGCCTCCCTCGGGAGGTGTTCCAGGCACGTCCAGCTGGGAAGAGACCAAGGGGTAGACCTAGGACCAGGTGGAGGGATTATATATCTTCGCTGGCCTGGGAGCGCCTTGGGATCCCCCAGTCAGAGCTGGTTGATGTGGCCAGGGAAAGGAACCTTTGGGGCTCTCTGCTGGAACTGCTACCTCCGCGACCCGACCACGTTTAAGCGGGAGAAGATGGATGGATGGATGGACTTTAAAATTATATTTGAACTAAATAGGAGGTCATTATGCATTAAGCTTTGTAATGTCACTGTCCCACAGTTCTATAGGCCCCTTTATTTAATGATAGCATATCATTTGTACTAGTTTACAACTTAATATTTGTATTACTGGCTGCTAATCTTTTGCACTACTTAAGACTGTTAGTTATTGTAAATACTGTAAAATAACCTGTGCAATATTCACTTTTTACTACTGTTATATCTGGCAGCTACTTAATTACTTGTATATGTTGGTTACTTTTACAATGCTGCTACTTATTTTTTCTACTTAATAAATGTTTCATTCATCCATATGTGCTTGTTTCTTTATTTAATATAAAAGTGTACTTACATTTTGTCATTTACCTGCACTGCCCCCTTTGCTGTAACAATGTAAATGTCCCCGCTATTGGACGCATTAAGTATTCCTGATTTCATAATACTAATTTTAGTTGGCCTCAGGATTTACCGGTTATTATTTTGGATACAGACAGCTTCATATTTTACCTGAGAACTCATAGTATCCATATGTTGAAGTGTGTAGCTATCTGAGTGTGGTTATTTGGTGATATCAGACAGACTGTCCATCCACTCCTAAATGATTGCATGTGTTCCTACATACGGGTATTCTTGAGTGTGTGAGCATGGGTGTGTATGCATGTGGAGGTCATCCGTCATTCTTCTGAATGGGATTTGCGCACAATAAACCTGTAGCCGCACCCGGCAATGGAGATGGAGTGCACTGTCAGCGGGCTGGATTTATGGGGGCCGATTCAGCTGATGGGTGCTGGGAAAGCCGTCTGATGAAGGGTGATTAATCGCTCTTACGTCCCCCTTTACATCCTGCTTTACTCCCTCCCCAAACTAGATTAAATGCACTCATAATTATTCCAGAAGAAATCCCACGCACTTTCACTTACAGGTGGGGATTTTTCACGTTTCATATGGTGGAGGGGAGAGACAGGGATGAGAGAGATACTGTACTGCATGTGTACGGGTGAATGAGTGTAATAAGAAGAAGGGATGTACAAAAAGAATAATACAGGCATGGATGAGTTTTCCTATTTTCTGTTGTGTAGTTTTCCTACTTTTCCATCCTTTATCCCTCCTCCTGGAGAAAGGGTGGCATATGGTTGGCACACTTTGATTGATGCTTTTAAAAAGGACTAGTTAGTTGCCTTGTTCAATATTGCCATGGAAAAATACAGCTGCACAGAAACTGTTTATACCTGAAATCATAATTGTTTGGACATTTTACCAAAATAATACTGATAAAAAGAAGGAAGCATTCTCTACCTGTATGACAATTGTGTTTTGCTGTTTGGTCTTATATTTTTGGGGAAATCTTGTAACTTTTGAGAGTTAAAATAATTATTGAAACCCCCTGCCCTCCCACCCAAAAAAGTGTTAGCTTTCTCAGCATTTGACCAGTGCAAAACATCAATGCTGATTACAAGTAAATGACAAATGCAAATATAAGTAAAATGGGTATGAAGAATATTTTTGAAACTATTTCAAACATATTTTTTAATTGTGTTATTTTCAGACACTTTAGCGCTCAACTGGCTCAAATGTTGAAGGTGTATTTGTAAAATGTTTTAAAGCTAGCATGACTGAGTGATTATTAATAACTTATGTTGAAAGGAAAGAAGGAAGGAAAAAATGATATGCCAAGTATTAAACTTGAATGCACTTTATAGACATGTAATCTTAATGTGTGACTATACATGTATTTGTATTCCAACTTACACACACACACACACACACACACACACACACACACACACACACACACACACACACACACACACACACACACACACACACACACACACACACACACACACACACACACACACACACACACACACACACACACACACACACACACACACACACACACGATGAATGGGGGCAGTGGAGCGTGGAGCAGTGTGATGGAGGGCTTGGAGGTCGTCTGAGGTGGCTGTTTGGTTGGCTGGATGGCGGGATATATGGTGGGATGGAGGGACGGAGGCAGAGAAGCAGGGAGAGAGGGAAGGAGAAATAAAAGAGATGGATGGCCTCTCTTTGTCGCGCTGGTTATTTAGAGGAGTGCTGTAAACCTGTCTGGGAACGAACAGTTTTCAGACTAATGAGCAAAAAGTCGAGCAGTTACGGCGAGCGGACAGTCTCAGCACTTCTACCAAATGAAACCAAGCTGCCACTTCAAACTGTGCACACACACACACACACCTACACACACATAGCAATACATAGGGAAGGAAATAACTTCATGAAAAATGAAGGGGAGGGTATAAGATCGGAGCAGTAGAAGGATTCTATAGTACAATACTGTTTTGTTTTGCAATGCATTCTTCTTTTCAGAACTGTGTGATTCTTTACCTGCATAGAACTCAGGACCGTACATCGCTCCGACCACTGGATTCAGCTTCCAGCCTGCAGGAGACACACCATGTTAGAAAACTGTACATGCCTGTGTTCCTACACAAACCTTCTAAACAGAGTTACTATACTATTATATTTTCCCTTTTAGGAAGGAATTATAGCCTTTACTTGAGTATTTGTCCATCCAACAGGGCATTGCATTGTGAGTTTCTTAATCTGTTTCTTTTGTTTCACTTATTGTTAATAATTCACAAAACATGTACCCTCTGAGGAGTTTGAATAGCCCGTGATGGATAGATGCTATCTCTTCAAAATGTTGCATCAAAATGCTGCATTTCAAGATACGATTTTGCATAACTATTGCCTGATGGAAGTTTTATGATTGCAGTTACTATTAAATATTTAACACTTAGGAGTAGTATCAACTGTTGGGTACACCAGTGTACACTTTGTAAGGTTTTAATAAAATGAAAGTCACATCGAGACACAAAATGTCACAAGACAGATGTGGGTGTCTCTGATGATTGGCTAGTCCATCATGCATTTAATAATGCAGCACTTTTGTTAAAAAACCTTGACTGTAACAAAGGATAATGTTTATATACTTTCAAAAGCTCTGCCCATAGTTCTATTTTTCATTCTCAATACGTTTATCTAACGGAGCATTTAATCACATATTGCTAGTTATATCTTATTATAAATATAATACATTAGTGTCTTCCTTTAGTGGTTAAAGGTATGTACTGGGGAAGTGACAACGGAAGCACAATTTTAGCAATGGCAAAGAATAACAAAAGATGGCAGAGCGAATCTTAAGATATGGTGTCATCTTGTTTAAAAATCTGGAAGCAACTGGGGTCTTCTATTCTTTTTCTTGTTTGTCCCGCTGTGGTTATCATTATTTTATCTTACATGTCATTCAAATGTGTGTTTTTTTTTTACTTGTTGTATTTCCGGTTTGGCAACAGTTTGCTCAACACTGCTAGAGCCAATAAAGCAGATTGACTAGAACTGAGAAACAGAGAGATGAACTGGGAGGAAATATGCTTGAGTTTGTGTTAGATTTTTTTTGCGTGTAATCTTACTCTGGGCCTAATGAAAGTGACGAATGAAAAACCCTTTAGGGCCCATTCTCCCTTTCTCTGCACCCTCAAACAAGATGGAAGTGTACGTCCATCTCTCTCTGTGTGTGTGTGTGTGTGTGTGTGTGTGTATGTGTGTGTGTATGTGTGTGTGTGTGTGTGTGTGTGTGTGTGTGTGTGTGTGTGTGTGTGTGTGTGTGTGTGTGTGTGTGTGTGTGTGTGTGTGTGTGTGTGTGGTGTGTGTGTGTGTGTGTGTGTGTGTGTGGAGCTGCTGACATGTCTGGCCATTTAATTCATTCCTGTGTTGGTCCAGCCCCTCTTCTTTTTTGCTTCTCTTGCTCTTCAACATCTATTACGTTTATCCCTCTCCCCACTCCACTCTTTCATTCCATCCACATGAATGACGTTCCGTGAGAGAGCTGGAGGAGAGAAACTCTAAAGAGCCTTCTCTTTCCCGACTCCTGGCTCTTTTTTATTGGCTCTATTCCCTGTATTTCCTATTCCTTATTATCCCTGCCGAGTAGGAAAAGATTTCACTTTGCTATTTGCGTGATATTTCAAACCAAATCGACTACCTCTCTGACAAATATTGATGCCATGAATCAAACGTGTGATAACTCTGTGTGTATGAAGGCAGAATGAGCAATCTATCTTCCATTTACAGCTTTTTGTTTCCTGGCTCAATGGGTAGAATTTGATCATAATGATTTACTTCTTTCATACAACCATCAAATCTGTTGCTCTGTAATGTAGCCAGGTCCGACACTGGCAGTGGAATACAATGATGGAGAAAAAAAACGACAGAGTGAAGAAAATAAAGGGAAACTACGAGTAAGAGAAGAAGCCATAAAAGTGGGAGAAATAAAAGGAAAGAGACAATTAAAATAAAGGCGCAAGTCTTACCGTTTGTATAAGGGTTTGCCACTTTTTTGTTGGTCATTACTCTGGCTGTGGCATTGTTGACCTGTCAGCACACAGACAGCAGTTAGTGTGAGAGCACACACACACACACACACACACACACACACACACACACACACACACACACACACACACAAACACACACGCACACGCACACGCACACGCACACACACACACACGCACACGCACAGAAACAAACAGAAAAACACACATGTCCCTATGCCGTGATTGTGTTAACAGATTGGTGTCCCCAAATAGTGATAAATACCAACTCACACACACACATACTGCACACACGCACACACACAGGAGACATCAACTGTGCACACATTGTTGATATTCCACGATAATCCACACAACTTGTCATGCCATGCTTCTTTTTTGATCATTTCAGCAAGTGATGCTACATGCAGTGTATCAAAGATGTGATGTTGTGAATACCCCTTTCAACAACATCATACAAAATAAATAAGACAAACATTGAAGTATGAATACACATAGACATTGCAGTTTGTAAAACCCAGAAAAGTTCCACAAGATTTACATTTTTATTTTTGTAATTGCCCTAAAATAACTGTGAGGTTAATGTGCAAGGCCACAAAACAGTGAGGACTGCAACATTTTACAGTGTGATGTTTTATGTACAGCCACTGTTGTGTAATTTAATATGTCATGTACCTCGGTGCTGGCTAATTAAGATAGCAAACAAGCCATATTAAACATTACACACACAGCTAGGGCATCGTTTATTTTGCTAATCATTTCCCAATAGGGGTTTACACCTGACCCCCTTGCAGGTTGAACTGCAAGGAGTTTGGATATTATAGATTACGTTGTACATTTTGCTACAGAAAATATGTTTGCTGTCCATATTACATTTCCATTAACATAGGGGAAAATGATAATCACATTGTTTTCGCAGTTACTAAATGTCATTATGTCAGGATTTGTAATGTTTCCAACAGTACTGCTCTTACAATATAATATCCACTCATTGCACAGGATAACAGAGTCAATAACTGTTTGAATTACATTTTTAAGAGGCTAGGACGCTGCATGTGGGCTAATGAATGTTCCTAGGTGATACGTTACAATGGAAAACATAAAACAGACCCAACAAGAGGATGGTGACATCAACATGGAACTCTAAATGGACTTCAATAAAACTTCTTAGTAACCTTAGTAAAGTGTAAGACTCACTGGCAGATCACTGATTGGCATTTTGAAAGAGTTTATGTTCTGACTCAAATCAAAACCCTTTGTGATCTCATGCACATGCCACAGCGACAAACACAAATCCATCATGAGCAAAGTAGAATTCACCATTTGAGTAAAAGAAAATAACACACTCACACACACTGAATAGGTCTGTCTTTCTCTTTGTCACACACACTTACGGATCAGGGTTCAGCATGCAGCGTTCAAGGTGCAGCAGGCAGGAGAGAGGAAAGAAAGGAGCGGAGGAAGAGAGGGAAAAGAGGGGGAATTGCAGGAAACGTCAGGCAGGCAGAGAAAGGAAAGAAAGAGTCTGGGGAAGAGTTAAAAAGAAAAGGGGGGGGGGGGGAGGTAAGAAGTGACAGGAAAAGGAAGGCACCTCTATTTTGCGTCCCTCTACGATTGTACCATTTAGTTTCTCCCGCGCACGGTCAGCATCTGCACTCGTTTCAAATGTTACAAACCCAAAGCCCTGCAGTGGTCAGGAGGGGGGTTGGAAATCAAGCGACAGAAGGAAGCGGAGTCCAGAAATGAAATGATATAACAAATGTGGAAAAGAAGAGAGGAGAAAAGAGACACAAAGCACAGATGAGAGAGCTGCAGGTCAGGAAAGAGCTACAGATCCAGAAGCAGAGGCCAGAGACGTCAGGCTGGTTAGACATGAGAAATAAAGCTGGAGTTACAGTCAGGGAGGTTTGGTTAACAGGACATCAAACCACAGATAGCAGTCCTCATCATACATACATATGATTTCCTGTTGTAGGATAAAAAGGGTTAGGGTTAAGCTGCTTTCACATGAAACACAATTAGGTCTTTGCTCCCTGCAAGCTTGGGCGAAAAGTCCAGCTGTGAAAACACCTAGTTACATTTCGTTTTGTTACCTCTGGGTACATTTCAAGCGCTGCAAGACGCCAGGTAATGCTTTGGTTTAATCTGTTTGCACCGCCCTCTCCATGGCAACGTCAGCACAGAGCCGTTTCAGTGCTTGTCACATGAAGGCAGCTGTAGGGTAAACCTGCATTCACATGATACGTCATTTGCTCTTTGCTCACCACAATGTTTGGGTGCAGAGTCACAAGGTCAAATAGCTAGTTATGTTCCTTTTCTAGGGTTACCTCCTGTGCTAGCTTGTGCAGCTACATACACCTGTCACTTGATTGGTTGCATGTTGAAAGGTCAGGGCAATCAAGTTCAAAGTTGAAATAATTTGGACTTTGAGTGCACTGCTATACGACAATTTCAAGCGCGTAGGGAACCTCTACACAAACACCTTAACTTCGCTAATATTTGATAGCTATTACAGTCTTAACAAGTTTATAATCATTTGTTTGAGGCAATCAGAGCTTGATGCAGTAGAACTTTACTTCTTCAGAAGACTGTGAAGTCGTACTGATTTAACAATGGTTGTGCTTGGGTTTTTTTTTTTTAACACTTGTTTGCATTGGTTGACATTAGGGGGATGACTATGTTCCTCATCCCATTTTTCTCCAAAATATTCGACGCGATCACACTATCTTGACTCCTGACTTCATTAATTTCCCAACTGTAGGATGTTTCACTGTGTGCATACCTGGGAGGAGCCCCTTGCTTAACTCTGACACCCTTATTTATGCAATTTTCTAGGCCATAAGAATCTTGGTTTGCACACAGTATTTTCTTTTAACATTACTGTAGATGCAACACTGAACGCATTTTGATTACATTCTACTACATTATATTACATCTTATTACATAAGAATGTCCCACGATACTGTTCCTTCTAGCATTCCAGACTCTGCTGCACATGCATTTACAGAAAAATCTGAACCTAATTGAATCAGCAGATGGAAGTCTCCACACACAATGGAGTGTGAGATGTGTGTGTGCGCGGCTGTGTTTGCTGTAGGGTGCACTTGGCCCTGTGGAAAAGCAGATAAGTGCCATACAATCACACTCTCCACGGCATCATTCAGCCGTGAATCTTTGGCTCTGAGCCCCAGGATGCAGCTCGCTCATGAGGCCCTGTCTGTGTCTCAGACTGGGCCTGGAGATGCAGCTCACTCAAAAAGCCCATACGAGTTAAAACATGCCTCCAAACTCTAAAGCGCAAAGCCTCATCTATCTTGTCAATGAGCCTAAAGCAGGCAGAGAGTGAGAGCTGAAGAATCGTCTCTGCTATCATGAATTACTGCCTCTGTGAAGGGATTTATGTTAAATGTTTCATTCTCCCTGATTAGTGGTATTGAACTTTAACTGCAGCCTCAATTCGAAATTCTTACTTAATGAACTTGTAAAGAGACATACGCACCAGTTTAATCACACTTAGTGATATGGACAAGTAGAAAGATTGCACTTTATTCTTACAGCAAATATATCTGCAATGACTGTCAGAATATTTTGAATTGCCTTTAAAAAAAGATTTGGATCTTTTGTGATTTGTAACCGCAATGTTTAACATACAGAAAAACAGTTTATTACAATTTGGGTTGTATTTTTGAAACTCCAGCTATTGGCTGTATCAGTTACTTTGACAATGTACTAGGTTTAATGCTGAGATGTCAGTACACAGCAAAACATTTTCAAAAACGTGAGGAGGGGTTCAAGAAACAAAAGCGGTTGACTAGAAAAATGACTAGAAAATGTTAAAACAATTACACAAGGGAGGAGATACTTTCTTTTATGCTACCGAACTGTTTTTGTCAACTCTCCAACCACATTGGATTTTTTTTCAGAGACACTATAAAGTGTTTTCAGCCATTACTCCTTAGCCATTACATCCATTATGTCCACTGGTTCAGAGGCAACTGTTCGAACCGCTGTTGAGGCCAACAGGAAGTGCATCTCTTCTAACAGAAAGTTGATGGTTCCAAAAGGTCTTTATAGGATATATCATTTGATGCCAGCATGTTCTCCGGTTCTCTGTGTTCCAAAAGACCTGGCTGGGTGTCAATCCCTGTGTGGTTGTGCTATAAAAGTTCCACTCACTTTCTCTCTGGCAAAGACTGACACTATAATATCCTTTGGAAAACGTAAGGAAGTGCATCAGATTTGTTCTTCAGCACTTGTTGATAGCGTTTTCTACATGAAGAATGCTTTAATATGTGTACTCAATGCACTCTTAATCATTGGAAACTGCATTAGGAAGCAACCAAGAAACTCAAAAAGTTAAAAGCGTCCTGAGATTAATACAGGCTAAGCTTCTCACAAATGTGTCATACCGCACCACCGTAAAACTTGTGTCCTCCGATTGATGAAGTTAATGGGAAGGACTTTAAAGTTCTGTCTTCTGAATCCAAATCTAGGTAATGGGGGTCGACATTTCACAGCTTCACCCAGCTGTCAGTCCACCTTTAAGATGCCCCTTCTATAACTTAGATTCTGATTCTAGTGTTTACAAATACAAAGGGTAGCATTTCCAAAACCCTTGAGGAACCCTAGAAGACTTTGAATAACTTGTTACCAGTGTAATGTTTGGTCGATTTCGTCTAAATATCTTTTTATTTAACCTTTATTCAACCAGGATAGGTCTCATTGAGATTAAACATCTCTTTAACAAAAGAGTGCTGGAAATGTCCCAGCTATTCCCTTTTGACTTAAAAGGAAAGCTCTACCTTCAAGTGTGGTCCTGGCTCCCACTACTCCTTTGTCATTGATGAGTTATTGTGTGGAGGCAGCAAATTAACTCACTATTTTCACCTGATAATAAATATGGACAGCACCCAGCAACGTGATCTCTACATACACAGGATTCACTGCCTTCCTCCGGGCATTAATAACACATAGGTCTGCTCTTGAGAGGAGGAACTTATTACAGTATATATATATATATATTTAAAAGTGCTAAGTGGGAGCAAAATTAATCCTTCTGACATTTTGTAACCACATGTAGATATGTTGCCTCACTTAACCCTAATGACTTCTAAGGCTTTCTTTTCTTTATCATAGGTAAACAATTAGTGTTCTATGGAATTGGACACAACTGATGCACTGAATGTAAACAAGATGTGTTAAGAGAGAAAGGACAGTGTAGTTGGAATGCTATCTGGACAACAAGTCCTCCAACTCATATGACCAAATAGGTCGATTGTTCAGCAGCTTATTACGACCTACTGTATAGTCAAGTTTGAAAGTTTAGCACCTCTAGTGGCAAACGCTCCGGAGGGTCAAATATTCACAAATAACCCTCTCTGGAAAATCCTAAATTGTAGAATAGTTTGGCTATTAAAATGCTTTTTGATTAGATTTTTCCAATAAAACACATCAGTTTATCCTTGTTAATTACAAAACATTAATTGGTTTAAATTGTGTACTGTACACTGCTTTTGTGTTTTTCCCATAGATTTTTCCCTTTCGATTCTGAGAGACACATTTCTTTTTTCAGAGGTTTTGATAGGCTAAAACATCGAACTACCCATAATCCTCAGCTATCGTTGAAGCTCGGTGATTGGATGTTTTAGCCGCAATGCACGTTGGGATATGGTGTTTATGCGATGTGAAATCCGAAAACATTTAAAAAAAAAAGAAAAATACTTTATTCCGAGTCAGGAAGTCATCACATAACGGCATTGTAAATACACGGTTCGGCTGCATTAAATATTACACATCTGCCGTAGTTCTCTATTTATAGAGCCCTGATTAGAAGACCTTTGGACAAACTGGAAGAACTGCCACCGAAACTGAATACGTGACGTGGATCATAAATATATCAGCAATTAAACAACATCTTAAATGTCTCTTCACACAATACGTCTCCTTGCAGTATCAACAGTAATTCGGCTGACTTTTATATTTGATCCAATTTATAGATAGGTTATATTTACACCATAACGGTGCACAGCTGATAGAAAAGGACTTTTTATTTTTAAAGATATTACTGATTTTCTTTGAATTAAAGAATGTAAATACTGAGTTGAGAGAATAGTCAGGGGTTTTGGGTGATGGGAGACACATCTATGGAATCACAATTTCAATAGCTTACCATTAAATGATGGATATACCTCAGATATTAATGCGTAGAACTACAATATGTGAAATAATATAGCAATATCCTGTAAAATTATGTGAAAACATGAATAAAACTACACATCTTCAGATGTTATACATACACAAGTGTCCTACACTAATAATACAAAGTTATTATGGCATTGTATGCTGTGTGTTATTTGTAACATCTTCATAAAGTATAATTTATTGTGTTAACACTGTAAACTTGACCGTTTTTTAACCCGCACCGCCTAGTGGTTAAAGCACGTTATTTAATTTTGTTATTGAATAAGTTATATTTGATGAAAACATTTAAATATTAAGAGTAGCCTACATACAAAATAGGGGGAAAGTAGAAGGTCAATGATAGAAATATAGAATAGAAAATATCAAGAAGATACTGTAGTGATCTCTACAATAAAACAGCTAGTGGAGGACGTCCAAAGATATTAATAGGAGGATGTGCAAAACAGACAAACTAATAAGGCTTTATTTAAACATTAAAGAATACTTTAAGTTAAGGTCTTCTTTTGAATAAGAAAAAAACGTTGGGGTTATCCACAGATAAATATGAAGTCTGACAAAGTACTTAACGTCTAATATATTGCATAGTTTATTTTGGCACTTGACAATCACCTTCCCTGAATTTGACTCAGGTGTAACTAAAGTCTGATTTAAGGGTTGTTTATATTTCACAACATTAATCAGAATCTGCAAATTAACTAAAATAAATGTAGTGGAGTAAAAATACCAGGTTAACCTCTGAATTGTGGTGGAGTAGAACAAAGTAGTACATGCTGCTGTAACAAAACCATTTCCCAACTTGGGATCAATAAAGTATATCTTATCTTATCTTATCTTAAGATGATCGATGGCTACTGCCATATTTGCAAAATGTGCCTCTGAACCTTGACAAGTGCATGTTTCAGGCTTATCAATGAACAACAGGAGGGGTCACAGACATAAGACCAGCTGTTAAATAAAGCTCTTCTGACCTTAGCTGTCATGTGGGTATATTAATGCTGCCCATTATGGACACAAGCAATTTTCACCCATTTATTAATTATATGTTTTAAATGTGATAACACCACTGTGTTTCATATCCCCTAAACCTCCAGGGTGTACACAGTTTAATACTGGCAACTTCTAATTATGGGAAATACGAAAACGTCTTTTAAAACTACAATTCCCAGTAGAGACGTGCCATAGAACATGTTGCGAAACACAACAGCCAGCATGTGTAGTTCTGGGGGGGGGGTTCGAGTCCAGTTTTGGATAGTCTGCCATGGCATTTCATAGAGCTGTTGGACGCTCGGCGTAACCTTGGTGCACTGCCACTCCAACATCCAATCACAGAGCTTGAGGAATAATCACGGGGTTTGTCAAGCAAAGCGGATGTTGTAGTCCCAAACGATAGCTGAGGATTATGGGTAGTGTAGTGTCTTCGGCCATCCTAAACTCCCAAAAAACTATTTGTTTCTCCGAATCGAAGGTTAAAAACACAAAAGCATTGTACACAATTTAAGCCAATCAATGTTGTGTAATTAACAAGGATAAACTGATGTGTTTTAGTGGATGAGTAATGCAGATATATCACTGTGTAATCATTTGACAGTGAGGGGAATACTTCCGGTTTTATTATGAAAACTTTGAGACCGGAAATACTGTTTTCACCCCGTGAGGGTTGACGCCAACTTTACATGGACGGCCGCTGTGGGGAAAGACGTAGTATATTAACGTTCTCCTGACGAGACCTCAAATCATCTTCGTAATATCTATCAAACTATAGATCCTACACATCCACTGGACGTGGATTCTAAAAGTACAATATACACTTCTCGCTAGAAATCAAATCAAAAAGCATTTTAATGGCCAAACTATTCTACAATTTAGGATTTTCCAGAGAGGGTTATTAGTGAATATACGACCCTCAGGAGCGTTTGCAATCAACGGGAGCATATGCCACAAATTGTTGTTTCTTACACGACCACTAGAGGTGCTAAACTTTAAAACGTGACTATAGGTCGTAATAAGCTGCTGAACAATCGACCTATTTGGTTGTTTTTTGGAGGAGGACAGGCTGTTTCTGGACTACTAAACCTAGTTGGTACGAAATATTGGTAACTAAACTTAATTGTTACGTTATCTTCTATCTTGGTAACTAAGCTTAGTTGGTATGCTATCTTCGCAACTTAACTTAATTTGCTACCTTTCATGCCTTTTTTTTTGTGGCTGTAATTTACAAAGCATTCAACATAATTACATTCCATTTTTTTACCCAGAGATGAGCAGAGAAAAGTACATTTTGTGTGTTTTTAGCCTTCCAGTCTTATGTTATATATTCATAGAACATTTGTATTTAACTCCATTGAAGTGGTGTCGGCTATGCTAACGGTTTATTTGAGCAGAATAACATTACTCAAATTGACAATGTGAACTAGTTTCTGTTCAATTATACATTTACACAATTTGACCATCAACATAGTCAAGCAACTGCATTGATGAAAAAGCCTAATACAATGCATGAAGTCTTTTTTTCTGATGTACTTGAAGCAAATTTGAAACAGGAAAAATGGAAGGACAAGTTTTGCGAACACATCTGAGATTTCAGAACGATATCTGGACTTTAGTATCCTATGAACTGTATAACCATAAATACACATTGGTTAATTCATTTAGCATGTTATAAATTACATTAATGTTCTTTCGTTTCATTCGTATCAGGATACAGTATATAGATGGGTAACAAATCAAAAGAAAAACATGTTCTAAAGTACTACAGTAGCTGTTTCAAACCAGTGTTTTATTCAATTTGGTTATACCAATATAATGTATTAATTAGATGCAAATATAAATCTCCTTATGGTGATTGATTCAGAATGAACTGCAACAATATCTCAGAAGATCAGAAGATTTCTGATCATGCAACCTACTGTAACTGACTCTCTTTAGTCTAACAATGCTGATATACTGTTGTGTTTTATTGTATTTGTATCATTGTAAGCACTCACAAGAAACCACAAGCTCCAAATTATAAGTATAACAAAAAACAAAACAAGAACATTTAAAAACCTCATCAAACCGTTTGTACTGAGATTGAAACTGTTCTCCAGGAGAGGCATTGAGAAGTTAAAGAGGCATGTATTTTCAGACTGTGTGAATCCTAACGTCAGCGTTAAGATAAGTGGGATCCATTCGCTGCATGTTACGATGCATGGCAGGCCGCTAAGGTGTTATAGTTGCCTGCAGGCAGGTGTCACTGTTTGGGAGTTGTAATTACTTTTAGTAGCAGAAAGAGAAGTGAAGACAGTGAGAGGAGGACTGCGATAGAAGAGAAAGAGACAATCACAATCGGATGAAAAACCACGTGTGAGAGAGTGTGCTTGAATGTGTGGACACGTACCTTGGAGCCTCGTTCGTTAAAAATAATCTCCACGTCCAAAATCTTGCCAAATTGCTGTGTAAGACAAGAAGGGAGAAGAAAGGGACGGGGAGGAACAGAAAAGGAGGGAATAGGAGGAAATAATTAGAACATTATAACGCTGTTAGAACAATAAAAGGTCAAGCAGTCAACGCTCCAAATTAACAACTGCTCTTTACCCGACAATGAGATTAATAGAATATCCATTTACTCCTAATGCTGTTTAATGCTGTGTTTGCTCTGTTGTGGTAATAAAGTGCTGTGTGTGTACAGGAGACGAGGGCTATGCAGTGTTAATGAACATTACTGTGGTGGCTATTGCAGCGCGATGCCTCAGTACACATCTCAGATCTTAATGACGCCCATCAATGAGCTTTTCCTTTCCCCACTCTGGAAATGAGCAGAGCTGGAGTTTCTTCAGCGGAAGCAAGGGCCCTTTCAGTTAAAACAGGATATGGCTTCCATTTAGGGGTTGGAAGTGAAGGAACAGCTCATCAAGGCTTATGCTTTGCCATACATTTGTTTATATGCTCCATACACTCTAATCATGCATTTGGTGCTTATAGTTTCTATTCTCATCTCTCTGTTATGGTCTTTATTGGCTCCATGCGTCATTTTAATTGGCTAATTACTGCATAGTGATGGTGCTAATGGCCACGCCTTTCCGCCCATTGATGTCGGTGGTGAATGTGTGCTTGTCATATTTGTGTTAATAAGGTGAAACCCGATCTTATGGCTATTGACACTGCTGATGTGCAATATATAACTGGCTGCTACTTCACAATGTAAAAATGTAACACCACTGCTGTGAAATAACACTGTGCAACATGTACTTTTTTACAATTACTACTGGCTGCAACTTAACTACTTTTATATATTTACTTACTTTAATAATGCTGCTACTTATTTCTTACCTTGGATGTCAACTCACACTATAGTTATACTCAGACTTTTTGAATCTTAATGAATTCATTATCCATGCATCTATATTATTAAATATGTTATACTTATGGTATACTGAAGTATATGTTGTGCCTCTACTGTGACATGTTTCCATGCTTTAATGGTGCTGCAGCTCCTCTTTTCACCCTCTGTCTGAAACCAGAGCCCAGTCTGCTCTGATTGGTTAGCTGCTTACAGATGTGTCAAAAATGGCCGCCCCTTAGCCTATCACGTAGAATGTGTTTGAGCACTAATAAAAGAGTGAGTGTTACATAGTGATGTCACTTTGTAACTGAAGTAAACAAAGGAGTCTAATGGAGGTGTTTTAGCTTTTAGCGCATTTTAGCCTTTGCAGACCATTTACATGCACAAGAACACAAAGGGAAAACCCCGAAAAGTATAATTAACTGCAATGTCCTCTTTGCTGTAAAACTGTTAAATTCTTCACTGTGGGACAAATACAAATGTTCTCACTCATACATTAAACATGGCAAACACTAAAGCATCTGCTGTGGGGGAAGTTCTCTTTTTAAGCCTTATCATGTGCTTGACTCTACAGTAGAGATATGGGAATACAAGTAAATAGGGTCAGACCTGTACAGTATATCAGGGTGATGTATTGGCCTCTTATCCCACATGGCCAGTCAGCGTGGTCTACGTGACACCATACAGATAACTCTCTAACACAGCATTTTCCCTTTGGATCTTGGGTTGTTTTCTTCATATCAGATGTTAAACTAACTGTACCTTTTACATATCAAGTAGCCACACATGGGGATGGACCCATTGATTTACAGTTTTTTACAGACAAAGCACAGTGCATTGTAAATAGAATAGGAAATGCATGTAAAGTATACGACAAATAGGTCAAGGCCATTTTATTTAGAAAGAAAATCTATCTAGTTTTCTGTTTCTAAATAAAGACCCACACAGACACGGAGATCTGCTTCTGTATTAACGACAATAACGCTAAGAATAAGATTCATTTTTTCTGGCTTCAGACTAAATAAATATCAGTATCAAAAGCCGAGATGATTGGACGCTCAGGTGGAGCTTTGGATGAACTCATGTCTGTGTGAAGCTGCACTAACCTTGCATGCAGTATGGTAATGCTCAGCCTTGTGCTTCCCATAACTAGACCTTGAATCAAGTCGTTTATTTCAATAAATAAATAAACATGGAGCAGGCAGCAGAGCAAAGGCAAGGTCACAACATTAACCCTGAAGATGAAGGAAGTCCACCAAAAAAACACGGATGTTGCATATACATACTGTATAGAACTACACACTGTAAATTGCACTCTAATCAGAGTTAAAGAAAGTGGCCTCAAAAAGAAGTAACTTAATAAAGACTGTTGGTTTTATATCAATGAAAATGTCCAAATTAGGTGAAGAATATATGGAAATTGGAATGAATACATTATTTAATAGCTTGTGTCTTTGTTTATGTGGCTAGTATCGGAGTTGAGGGATGTAGAGGGCACCACTCGGAGTTACTTTTTGTGTGTGTGTGTGGGGGGTATGCGTGTCTGTGTTTGTGTCACAAGAGAAAGACAAAGTGGACAGGGCTTGACAATGTGAAAAAGGGTTGTGAACTACACAAACTCCATTTTAAATAGAACTTTTTGGAAGAAAGTAGTCGAAAGGCTTTAACATATCAGTCAAAGTTGATGAAAATGAAAAATATGTCAAGAATCACACTGGCTTTTAAAAAGAAATTGTATTACCATGTGCCAAAACAAGTAGATATGGTATTGCATGATATATTTTTGGATATTAAATATGCTGTATATTTTACTAACCCTAACTCTTCTAAACTTTTTAATTTAGCAAATTGTGTATGAACATACTTTAGTCATGTTCGATTAAACTGACAGCTCAGTGGATCTGTAGACTTCGTGCTTTTAGAGAGGACTTTCATTTTCTTCTGAAAGAGAGTTTTATGACATTTCACGAGTTTAGTCCTCATCGGAGGACTACCAGCTGTTTTATGCTCAAGTGTATAAAATACCTTTTTGTTCACAATATCCACATTTTCTTGATAGGAGTAAAATAAAAATAAAAGAGATTTCATGTACCATCAATTGAATTTCTAAAATTGTATTTACATTAGGCATCACTGCACTAGTATAGAACGGAACATCGTACAACTTTTATTTTCCTTTTTTTATTTTAAAGGACTGCATAATCTTTTAACTAATTTTATTCCTCTGATGGATTCGTTAAAAATAATTCAAATGAAACAAGAATGTTTCTAGTGTGGCCATAAAGGCACCTGTGTCTGTGTGTGTGTGTGTGTGTGTGTGTGTGTGTGTGTGTGTGTGTGTGTGTGTGTGTGTGTGTGTGTGTGTGTGTGTGTGTGTGTGTGTGTGTGTGTGTGTGTGTGTGTGTGTGTGGGGAATGCATTCAATCAGTGGGTGTGTCCTTCAGATCAGATCATTAAGAATGTGGGCAAATGAAAGTGCTCCTCCACTCAGCCTAATGAGTGGGATGAAAGCTACCCTTAATTGTTGTCCACAATGGCTGCGTTATTTCATTAGAACGAATTACCCTGTCAGCCAGGCCAGCAGCAAGGCCACACACACACACACACACACACACACACACACACACACACACACACACACACACACACACACACACACACACACACACACACACACACACACACACACACACACACACACACACACACACACACACACACACACACACACGCACAAATACAGCCCTGGTTAGCACAAATTCAATAGGGCTGATCAATGAGCTGATGTACAAGAAACAAGGAGGTGATATAGTGCTGTGGAATGCGTTCACTTGTTTTTGCCCTCTATAGTGTGATCACAATAATGTCACAGTCTATAAAAAGAACTGGAAAGTTATAGCAGGAAAGTTATACTTATATCATTTTTTATTTATTACTTTATTAAGATTCATATTGCTGACATTTATTTTGTTAGAAAAACACAAATATCGTAATTTTCAAGCAGATTAGCTACATTTCTGCACAAATTATTTCATTTACTCAATGAGATTTTAGCTGGCTCGCTCCCACGCTCACTCGCACTTTGGCTACTAACATCCCTGTGTTCCCTCCAGAGTGAGTTAATTTATTTATTAGATACATACTCCCACATTGTCCATTGCATTTAATTGCATTGTATCTTTACCCCAATCCCTGTTATTTTTCTACTTTCTCTTTCCTCCATCTCTATCTCAGTGTTTGCTGTGTGAAGGCAGTTGTCTCCATTAGTCCAAATTAGAGCCATTTCCCTGGGAACAATCAGCCTCTGAGCGTTGTGGTGCCCACACAGAGGAAGGCTGCATAGCTATTCTGTGATGTGTGTATTCATCAGAATGAAACTGTATGTGTTGCATTCAGAAGCAAATATATAACCCCTAATAATGATAATAATCATAATAAGCTCTTAACTTCCAAGGGGATTCAGAGAGAACAAAAGCATTCATTTACAAAACAGATGTATAAACAGATTTATATAGGAGTTGGTTAGCCATTGTTTAAATCGTGATGAAACCTGATGAGGCCAATTAGCTGAGTTTCCACGTGAATAATATTAATATTAAGTAATTTTTCTCCCAATCTTTAAATATTGTTGTTGTTTATTTAGTCAGGAATATTTAAAGTTGTAAAGATATATTCAAAAATGATTTTACTTATGTAAAGATATAGCCACCATTTGAAAATACTACTAAGATCTTATATGCAAGTAAAGGTAGTCACTATGCATTCAGAATTGGACCTGTAAGTGTCATCATGTTATAATGTATAATACATATATTATTTTTAATTATGCTTTAACATGTGAGTTGCATGTTAAACCTCTGAGACCCACATAGGACATGTCTGTGTTTTGCCTTATAAATTGTCATTTCTTTACAGTATAATCAAGTGTTACACATCCCAGAAATCAGCACAACCTCAGCTAATGATATGTGTCACTCATTTTCATTTCTTTCATTTTTATTTGTTCCGCTCATGGTACGCAAAACCCAATGTACAATAATTGCCAACAAAACATGTCTCTACAAACACACCATTGAGCGAAAAGGAGCAGGGAGAAGAAAAACATCTTA